CATTAAATATATTAATTATACATATCATACACACACATTATTATTATCTCTATTCATATTTATCACAGATTTATTTTATAGCTCCCTGGACATAATTATTGCACTTTGATTCCTCTATTCTCCGTATGCTATTCCTAAGTCATAATTATATTGTCCGCTGCGTGTATTTTGCGTCTTACTGGTTAATGCTACCACGAGAGTTGTCAGTGATGGCTTAATTGTTTGTCAGTCTAGGGCAACCGCCCTATTCATATGTGTATGAATGCAATCTTTTATACAACTCTACACATTGCTATACCGCATCGACACTAACACGATTCTCATTCATATACACTAGGGCTCTGAAAGCATCTATTGTTACTCTCTCACATGCTGCTTCAAAGGCCACCAGTTGACATGGACGGTGCCGAGCTAAGTTGACGCTGTTATTCCGCTCGAGGTGTCTTAGGACACATCAACACAGCGTGTCAGCATTACACCATCTAATTAAGGCTCATGCTTCAAACCCTACCTCTTTCAATAAAGCTAAACGATCCCTCTCTCCTGCAGCAAGGATTCATCATAATGCGTCCACTAGACGGCACTCGGTTAAAAGTAATTATTCCGATATCTCCGGTCTCAACAATTCCACCGCGCCTCTTAAGCCATTGCAAACTAACGCGTCTGTTTCCTGCTGTCTATACATGAGCTACAACAGTTGGTTAAGATCGTTTCCTGTGCTGCAAACTACGCGCCAAACTGGTCTCTAGACGTGTTTTCAGTTCATCGCCACTGTAGAGCGAGTTTTGGTTGCCAATATAAAGTCATTTAATGTTCCGGTTGTAATTTGCTCACCTCCCTGTATTGATTCTGAACCATAAGACGGCAGTAGACGCGTCAAGGATATCTATTCGATGGACAACAGCTTGAAATAGCATCTCTGATTCCGACACACGCTGCCTACTCAGTCCATGCTGACATGCTCAAATGACGGAACCTAGATTCTACTGTAAGTCGCTCTGAGCTAGGTCTACCATTTGCTTAACCCTGTTTAGCCCCCTGAGCTGTTTTCAGGCTCCCACGGCAAAACAACCGACACTCCAGAACACATGACCCGCAATACTTCCCTTCTAAAACGCGTTAACAAACACACTTTTCTCTCAAGACCTAAAGAACCAACCTGTGAATTGATGTAGAAAAACAATCCGTTTTTATTTAAGAAAATTCAGTAAATAGTTCCTCACAAAATTATTTTTTACTTATAGTCGAAACACTACCCTTGGATGATGGGTAAAGTAGACTAAAAGCTTTAGGAATCCAAACTAGAACACATAATATACGTATCCTATATCAGATTCCGATGCCAAACAAGTGACATTTGACCTTTCTAGAGAAGCGTTTAGCAAAAAAACTCCACCTCTGAGGTGATTTGGGTGCGCAGTCGGGGTTTTACCAATTTCCTCTGCGCACTTGGATACACTCTTTGGTGCTGAATACTCCTTCCTCTCGACCGTTGCGAGCCCACACGACCGCACGGGAATCTCCCCAACTCCACACACTTGTTACACCACACAAAAAGGTGGGCGCTATCGCGCTACACACGCTCTTTGCATCAGAGTGACACTATCTCTAGCCTCTGACATCTGGATCAACGGAAAACCAGGTTTTTGCTTTGGATACAGAACATCATGTTCAAAGGGACACAGACACACTTGGCCACCAGGACTTACACCCTTGGATTCGCTATGAGCACGAAAGGGCTTTAATCAAATCACATTATCTACCATCTATCATCTCTCGGATTCACCTCGCCCGCTTTTTATCGCTCTCTAATGCCATTCGAACGACCACTTTCTGCGGCAGCACTACGACCCCGTAACCGTTTCGGTTTTTACTACCTAGCCGCCACATGTTTGATGTCTGTTTTTCGTTGTATAAAGTTGCGAGTTCGCTACATTAGTTGAAATGCATGTACCCATCATCTCTGTATCCCTCCGGTGTGAAACGATGTGTGGAGTGCCAGAACTATAAATAATAAGTTTGTCGAGTGAATTTCGGCTGCAGTCACCTCGCTCGACTCTTCGCCTGCTAATTCAGAGCGCTCAGCGTTAGCAGCACTGTGGTTTCTTTGTCGAAAAAAACTTAAAATAATCAGTTAGAGAGATGTCTTCCCGTTACATGGATTCAAAACATTCATAGTTTATTAAATGAGGAACATGCCCTCAGACACTGTTTCTGCAAGATGTTCTGATCGTGGGTCTCTGTTTTTCATAAAAGCTTGCTCTGTGTGTGTGGAACGAGCCATTTTTTGTGTGTGTGCGAGAGAGAGTGCGAGAGAGAGAGAGAGAGAGAGAGAGAGAGAGAGAGAGAGAGAGAGAGAAAGCGCACCGAGCGAGCTACGCTAATGGATATAAAGAGTTTTCAACAACAAAGTGGAGGAGAGTCCTCTCCTGTCAGACTGAGAGGCTCAGTGAACTAAAGGACTCTTGAGTGTTTAGATAGTTAACTTTAGTCTAAGTTATCTCAGTGGGTCTCAAACGTTTTGGTCACCATTAATGTAAACAATTATTTCCGAGGCACACGTTTATATGATCATTATAGTTATAAAAAAATAAGAGAATAAATAAAAAACAGGTATGAAATACTATATGACAGTAAAAAAAGAATAAGGTTTAAAAGGGTGATTTGTAAAATATCCATAAAGAAAAAGTAAATCTGTTTACAGTTCTGTTTCATATAGGTGTTGAGAGATTTATCCATAGATCTCTTCATTTTGCTCTCAAAGTGCACCAGATTGATGCTTTCCGGGGGAGCTTGAGGTCCACACACCACCTATACAAATAGCACTTTACCCCTGCTTACACCTATATGCCTCGAGCCTTCATTGTAACTGTCACACTATGTATTTGCGTGGGGAGTGTTGCAGTACAAAATTCCACTGTAGCGACCGGTACATTAATGGGAAACCCTAAATGTTTGAGCACCCTCTATGAAACGTCAAGCTACCCCACAGCACCCCCAAAATAAATCTCTGGCGCCGCCACTGAGCCTGACTATTTGTGTTGGGGGGGCCCGACTTATCTTTTTCTCCAAAGGGGGGGCCTGACAGAAAATAATTGAGAACCACTGCCTTAAAATATGACTTCTGGTGATGTTAGAGTGCCAAAACTTCCAAACACCTTGTCCTGGACATAGTTTCTACAGTATAAACTGTGCAACAGTACAGTAGGCCCACACAAACTGCAGAACACCGGGGCTTTGGGAACACTCAAAATTACTTAAAATGATTTAATTCCCATTTAACCTGTTAAGGGGCATTTTTCCACCGCTTTTTTTCTTACGAAACTGTGTCTCAGGGCTTCTTAAAATGTAATAAACTATTCATGTGTCCTACTCATTTAACGGGAAGAAACTCAGGTAACTGATGATATGAACCATGTTTACCGAAACAAAACACAAGTCTCACAAGAAGCGTCTAAATGAGCCCTNGCCTGGGCCCGCTCCGAGCACACACACAGACCCAGTGTTGACTGTTGGAAAATATTTTAGGTGGGACTGTGGAAATGGTGACCAAACAATACTAGGGGGGTCCGGTGGGATGCTCCCCCGGAAAAAAAATTGAGAAAAGACCACTTAATGACTTCTGGTGATGTTTTTTGTCTCACGAAACTGTGTCTCAGGGCTTCTTAAAATGTAATAAACTATTCATGTGTCCTACTCATTTAACGGGAAGAAACTCAGGTAACTGATGATATGAACCATGTTTACCGAAACAAAACACAAGTCTCACAAGAATGAGCCTACGAAAATATGCTAATGCGATCTATTCGCACCCATTTCCACATTCCCGGTCCTTATTAATATTCAACTCGATATACTTATCGATATGCCCAACAAATCAACTCTTAACAAGCTGAAGTTTCCCACAGTTTCACT